GTAAGCCATGGCATGCGTTCTAATGCTGGGTACTGGCTAACAAATGCAGATGGGAGCAGTCCAAGAGATTGATAACTGGAACCCTTGTTGCCTTGTCGCCTACCGACGATGCCTTTCAAACCCAATGCGTTCTTGCCGTAGTCGCAGCCCGCCCCATATCTGCGCTAGAGCAAAATCCGCCTGAGATCGATCTCTTCTTCGCGCGCCCGGAGGATCAAGAGATAGATCCAATGCGCAAATGGATCATGGTGGAGTGTCGGAGCAGCTTCTTCGAAGCCAGCAGACATACTCTACTTGCTCTTCAGCACCTCATGAGAGAGCCGTTCCCGCTGTCGAAGTATCTGGTGCATGTCCAACAGGAGGTTGAGCCTCCACGTTACATCAAGCATAACCCTTTCGTCAATCTAAGCTCACTCGTCAGCATGGAGGAGAGCACAGCATACGAAAACATTAACGTATTGGAGGATTGGCCTACTATGTCCTCGCACACCCTCGACAATTCTCAGAGCAAGGCTTTGAAACGGATGTTGACAAGCGAGTTGGCTATTGTGCAAGGCCCTCCGGGAACAGGAAAGACATTCGTGTCTGTCGTGGCACTGCAGATCGCCCGCGATAACCTGCGCAGAGATGACGCCCCTATCATTGTTACTGCACAGACAAACCACGCTCTCGATCAGCTGCTCAGACATACATCACAGTTCGAGCCCAACTACATTCGACTGGGAGGCAGGAGTAAGGACAAGGAGATCAAGAAGCGAACTTTGTATGAAGTCCGCCAAGATCTACCCCAGCAGAAACAGCCAGGCAGTCAGAAGGGCCAAGCTACTATCGCACTGAGGAAGTTGACGGTTCAGTGCCAGCTGTTACTGGCACCTCTGGAAGCTAACAAAGGACCTCTCGATCACAAAGTCTTGCAGGGTCTGGGGTTGATGACCAAGGAGCAGGCCGAATCGCTCGAAATGGACTCGCAGTATACTATGGGTGGTTCATCGACCGATAGTCCGGGCATCTTGATGGAGCAATGGCTTGGAAGATGTCTGGCTCCGTGCGATCGTCCGATTGGGCCAGACCAGTTCGACTGGGGGTACGAAGAAGAAGACTTGGAAGTGGAACAGCTCAAGGAACTCGAAGCAGAAGCCGTGGCTCAGGACGACGACGATATCGAAGCTCTCCGTGGAGAAGTGGTGTTGCTGCGTGACAACCACAAAGGTACTGGAGCGTCGCTGAACAACGCCGATATTGCGAACATCTTACGGAAGACGGACGATCTGACGATGATTCCCGTTACCCAGCGCGGCACCATCTACAACTACTTCAAGCGGGAGGCCAAGAGAATGATTACCACCGAGATCCGCAAGATCGCTAAAGGCTATCAAGAAGCAGTGTTCCAACGTAAGGCAGGCATGTGGGAAGAAGACGTGCGTGTTCTCAGTAAAGCGCGCATCATCGGCTGCACCACAACAGGTCTAGCAAAGTATCGCGCTCTACTTTGCGCTCTTCGACCACGCATCTGTATCGTCGAGGAAGCAGCCGAGACATTGGAGGCGCCTGTCACTGCAGCCTGTTTCCCGAGCATGGAACACCTTATCTTGGTCGGGGATCATCAACAGCTGCGACCCCATACCCAAGTGCGTGCATTTGAAGATGAACCATACTTCTTGAACCTGTCATTATTCGAGCGTCTAGTCTGGAACAACGTCGCTTTCGAGACGCTGACCAGACAACGTCGTATGATTCCAGAGATCCGACGTCTCTTGTACCCCATCTACCAGGATACACTCAAGGATCACAAGAGCGTGAAAGATCTCGATAATCGTCCTCCAGTCGAGGGCATGGGCGGCAACAATAGCTTCTTCTTCTGCCATGAGTGGCAAGAGTCCCGCGACGCCAACATGTCGGCAGTAAACGCAGCTGAGGCAAAGATGATCGTTCAATTCTTCGACTATCTAGTCCTCAATGGTGTAGATGCCACCAAGATTACCATCTTGACCTTTTACAATGGCCAACGCAAGCAGATCCTCCGAGACATAAGGGCGCATCCGAATCTGCGCATGTACCCCGGCATCCAGGTTGTCACAGTGGATAGTTACCAGGGCGAGGAAAACGACATCGTCCTTCTTTCTTTGGTGCGGTCGAACCATAAGCACTCCATTGGCTTCCTGAGCTCTGAGAATCGCGCTTGTGTCGCGCTTTCCCGAGCGAAGCGTGGCTTCTACATCTTCGGGAACGCAGAGCTTCTAGCCTGCGAGAGTGGTACGTGGGCTTCTGTGGTTGATATCATGTTCAAGAACAAGAAGTCCAAGCCAGCTACAGGTCAAGAGCGACGCGTGGGTTATCAGTTCCCGCTGAAATGCCGCAATCACGGACGCAAAATATGGTGCGAAGTGCCCGAAGATTTCGATCTCATCAAAGGCGGCTGCGACATCAAGTGCGAAGGCTCGTTGCCGTGTGGTCATCGCTGCCCGTACCCATGTCACCCCTTCGAGCACGACATGATCAACTGCACACAGAAGTGCTCCAAGCGTGTCGAGGCCTGTGGTCATCCTTGCGTCGCGGAGTGCTGCGATCCTTGCAAGTGCCACATGTGTGAGCGGCGCAGTGGAGGCGTCAAATCAACGCTGAAACCAGCAAACGGGGCAACGTCGTTTCGTGGAGCCCGGCCAAACACGCGAAGCTTGATGCTCGAAGACACGCTGCCTGCGACCTCTAGACGTGCTGTGCGTTCCGACACACTCACTGCACGCATGACGACTCCAGGGCTATCGGACTGTAGTACCGTGCAGTGGGATGTATACGCTAATGGCGGTGGTGTCCAGGAAGATGACGCGCGAGCCTTTGCAAAGATGAAAGCAGAGGAGGCCGAATACCACGCCCGTAGGGCATCCACACCCCAGACTGGCATTTCCGCTTCAGACGGCAGGCTTATCGAGATGTCGCCAGTGAAAGCAGGACCTGTGTCCAAGAACACAAACCTGCTCCTGGAACTCGACTTTGAGCCAGAGCATAACCAACAGACGAGCCGGGCGCATGCGAGTGCTGCAAATGTCTCTTTCGATCTGCTCGATTGAACAACTCATGGTAAAGAAGCCGCCACGAGTACATTTCAAAATCTTTAGCTAACTGTTCATTAGTATGTGTCCTCCTGGGTGGAGTACTTTCGACGTTATGGCAGCTTAGAAGAAGGGGTTGCTGTCTTGCTGTACTACCTTCGTGCTAACAACTGGATGGGCCTCATCTCATGCCCGGGGTATATAGCTGAATGTGCGAATCACTCCATCATGTCCTCCATATTTAGTCCTTCCTGTCCCCATCCATCTTGACCTCAAACACCTCGCCTGCCAACTTTGCGACCTCACCACCCAGTCCAGCAAGCCCGGCCTTGATACCCTCAACCGTCTGAGGCGTCAGGTTGCCGTTCCGCGAATAGAAGTCTACGCCCGCAGGCGTGAACAGCGTCTTCGCGAAGTATGTTACGACCCAACCGTTGCCTGTGCCTTCCTCATCACCATAACCCAGTATTTCCCACTTGCTCGTCGCAATCACCAGCCATCCCTTGCCACGCCAGTTGTATCCTAGACTCGCTACGCCGTCACCCCCCTCTGCATCTGGCGCTGAGGCCGTGTTCGGTACGTCGAACGGCTTGTCCACACCATGCACCGTCTTGATCTTCTCAGAGCCCAAGGATTGGTACGTGACTACGTCGTCGATTTGCGCAGGCTGCGTGTCGGGAATGGCCGTGTAGGTGATGCGAACGTTGCGCGACTTCTTCCACATAGGAAGCGTGGAGTGGGTTACATTCCAGGAGCCTGATAGCCATGACAGAGTGGGTGGTGCGAGCGAGGGGGACGGTTCGGTAGACGGCAGGGACGATGGAGCGCGGAGGGTTACCATGGTGAGGCGGCTGGTGATTGGCGGTGTTTGTGGAGGTGGACGCGTGGAATCTGGAGAGATTTTGTGGGTATCTCGAGGATGATGACGATTGGCGAGTGTTGATGATGATGAATTGGCGGTCGATGAGGTTGGACGGACAACGGATTTTTTTTGACGTGGCTGGTTGGGCAGCGGTGTGGTGTGATGTTCCGCGCGCAGAAGTCGCGATGGTGTTGCGATGCTCAGTCGCCCGACGAGAGAGACGTCGAAGCTGCTATATGCTTCATATTTACTTTTGATTAGCTGTAGATCTCAATCCCTTCTCTGCTCATCATCGCGTCTGCCATCATCATCAACACTCGATAACGCGACAGGGCCAGCAGATCGACGCTACCGGGAGCCAGTGCAGCCGGGTGCACGTGCCAAGCCACCAGCCCCAGCCCGCCACTCCAACAATAGATCGTCGTGTCCATGGAAAATCGGACAACCTGACATCACCATGCCGCGCGCGGACGCGTAACGCCCTTTCCACGGCAGTCTTGGTCGTCTGCCACGGCCATGTCCCGCCAGCAACGGACTTCCCAGAACCCGATGTTGCCAATTAATGCATCAAACCCATGTTTCGACTGCGTCGCGGCGGCTCTCGGTTGGCCGGGGGGTGACGAGGCCTGAAACTCTTGCACCAGTTTGTCCGCGTCGCTTCGCGGGCTGTGCAAGAGTACGAAGAAGCCGTTTGTGAAAATGCTCCGCGTGGCTCCACTCTTTGTGGCAGTTTGTGGCAGTTTGATGGTTGGTAGCGCGCCACTTTTTTTCTCTTGGGGCCCAGCTACCAGCTGTTTGCAAATGATTACTGTATACGGGTCTGGGTGGCTAGGCTGAGACGACTGCTGCGTAATGGTATAATAGCAGATGTGACCCCAGGGTCTGATGCTTCTGGAGTAACTCATTTTGCTTTTTACAACGGTTTCATACACTGAGCGATATTGTCCTTCACCTTGTTTGGGAGTATCTGATTGACTGCTTGATCTTTTCCCTGCATACGATTTACGACTTCCGTTTGACGACGACAACGACCAACGGCTACTATACCGTACGAAGAGAAGGACTATCACACACACAACTCACACAACATGTTTTCAAGAAGCATACTACTCCAAGCCGCGGCTCTTTTGCCCTTACTCTACACACCCGCCTCTGCACAAAATGCATGCAACAACTCGCCCGATCTATGCACACGGCCGTACAACAACATCACCTACCTAGGCGCACACAACTCGCCCTTCCTCCGCAACAAAGAGACATCCTTCTCCACATCCGGAAACCACTACTACAACACAACAATACAACTCGATGCCGGCGTGCGCCTCCTCACCGGCCAAGTCCACAAATCCAACGACAGTGGCAACGCAGCCTGGCACCTGTGCCACAGCAGCTGCGACCTGCTCGACGCCGGCACATTAGAAAGCTGGCTCGGCGAGATAAAAACCTGGATGGACGCCAACACAAACGACGTTGTAACACTCATCCTCGTAAACTCAGACAACGCCTCCCCCGCCGACCTCGGCGGCGTCTTCTCCTCCTCGGGCCTCGACAAGCTCGCCTACAGCCCGCCAGACCAAAGTACCGTGCCGCAAATATGGCCTACGCTCGACACGCTCATCGGCAACAACACGCGCCTGATGTCCTTCGTCGCCAGCCTGGATGAGCCCTCAGCGGAGTTCCCATACCTAATGGACCAATTCACCTACGTATTTGAGAACGACTTTGAGAACGTTTCACCCTCGAACTACTCCTGCAACCCGTCTCGCCCGTCTGCCGTCGCGGGAAACCCGTCCACGGCCCTCGAATCCGGTCGCATGTTCCTGCAGAACCACTTCTTGTACGAGACGCAACTGTTCGGCATTCAGTCGCCCAACGAGACGTATGCGAATGTAACGAATGCCGAGACGGGCTTTGGTAGCTTGGGTGAGGCTGTGCAGGAGTGTACGACTGTTTACGGAAAGCCAGCCAGCTTTGTCATGGTCGATTTCTTCAACGTGGGACCTGCGATCGCGAGCGTGGATCGTGCGAATGGAGTTAGCGGTGCGCAAGGAAGGAAGCAACTGAGCACAGAGCCGCTGGTGCAGAGCACTGGTGCTGGTGTGAAGGAGAGTGGAAGTCTACTGGCTGTCGTCTTGGCATTCGGTGTTGCTGTCCTGTTCGGAGCGTGAAGTTGGGATTAGTTGTACGGCATCTTGGATTACCTGCATGGCGACGGCGTTTCGGTCTTGAGATTCTGAGCTTTGACTCGGATATGGGTTATACTGGGTGGCATGGATTTGACTTCGTTTTGGGACAGAACGATTGACACGGCACTTGTCACACTTTGCTACGTCTGGATATGTAGTTGGGGTAGAGATAGATATGACCTTACGATTGAATACGATTCATCAACCTAGTACTACAAACGACCTTCACCACGCCCACTACTCAAGTATATATGGTTGACTATTCCTGGAACGGCGTAAACTTCTCCAATACATTCTCAGCAGCTTTCAAATTTTCCATCATTACTCGCTTATGCGCCTCACTCCTGACGCGAATCTCACACTCAAATTTCTGCGGCCGAATATTGAAGCCCTCTGTATACGCAAAGGTATCATACTTGACCCCTTCCTTGGGCCGGATATCGAATGCCCAGAGAATCTTCGCCAGCGCAATGTACAAACTGTTCTCCGCGAGGTTGGCGCCAGGACAGATGCGCCTTCCCCATCCAAACGAAGAGTGTCCTGATTTCGCCGGATGAGGTTTGCCCGTAAGTGGGGTGGGAGCCTTGGAGCGTTCAGCGAGCGCTTCGTCGAGAAAGCGTGCGGGGTCGAAGCGGTGTGGATTAGGATAATACTCCTCGTTTAGGTTGATGGCCCATGAGTTTCCTAAGACGGTGGTGCCAGAAGGGATGTAGTAGCCTTCGTAACGATCGTCTTCTGTGGATGCATGGGGTGTGCCACCCAGGACTGCGACAGGACGCCAGCGCAGAACTTCCTTGACGAGAGCGCGAATGTATGGGAGGCTCGCTTCGTCTTCAAATGTGGGGCTGCGGTCCGCGCCAACAACAGTGTCCAGCTCATGGTGGGCGGCGTGTAAGCTCTCAGGGTGTGTGACCAATGCCAGGAAGGCGGTGCATAGAGTCGATGCCGTAGTATCAGATCCAGCGCCAAAGAGAGATGCTGGGATATACGAGAAGTTGCGATCTGACAGCGGGATGTGCTCTTTCTCTCGTAGTTCTAGAAGAAGCTTGCACAACGAATCTGGGATATCGTCACCCTGGACTTTTGCCCTCGCTAGATCCGAACGTACAACATCCACCAGAGCCATGTTTGCAGCTGCCTCCTCGCGACCACGTGCTTTTATGTCAGCCTTCCAAGGTGCCAGCGCATCTGGAACATGCTTGAGGATAGGAAACGACTCGGCGAGGTACTTTCCGGGTACGTTGAGCGAGGCAGCAACATGCATGAACTTGAAGCGCTGGTGGATGATGTTGGCGTTGAGCGAGTCGATGCGATGTCCGTATGCGACACAGAATACGATACTGGAAGTGAAGCGCTCGAGGAGCTTCTCCCAATTCGCAGGGCTTTCGAGCAGCTGGTAGCACAATCGTGACGCCTCTGCGGTCTGAACCGGCTTGTATAGCCTCAGAGCCTTAGGAGTCATGGCCTGGTGTAGCAGCTTCCTCCGCACACTCCACTCTTTACCATATGGCTGTACTAGTATACTAGCATTGTCCCATAGTATCTCACCCATGACTACCATACGTGGTCGCGACGAGTATTTTGTGCTCCGCTTCTCCATCAGCTCGACAGCGATGTTCGGATCGGATATGACGATTGTAGGCTTGCGGCCAATCCATATCGTAAAGATGGGACCGTATATCTTGGACCATCTCTGGAACTCGATCCAGGGCTTCGACTTGGGTAGCTGAAGCTTATTGCCGAGGAACGGGAGAGGCGTGGGTCCTGGGGGCATTTGGAGCCATACCCAGACATCGTGAAGGAGCGTTGCGAGGGGTACGGCGAGGACTAGTGAAAGCCAGAGGTACGGCGGCAGGTGAAGGAGAGAATCTAGTGCCATGTTAACTCAGTCGCACGAGTGAATAGACGCTGCTACTCTCGAGGGTTGGCGAGGATGTATACGATGATATGTACTTACAACACCGGAGTCAGGCGATCATACAGACTCCAACGTGACGCTCGGCAGTTGTATTCGCTCGCTATTGTTGCTCCGCGATGGCGGGAAGATGATGCGGGGCGCCATTCGGTCGTTCACCGTGTCAACTGGCCGCCACCACCACCTGTCTCCTCCACTCATATGTCATTGTACGAATGGACATAAGGCTTCTTCGGAACTATGTCGAAATGGCTAGAGAGTCATTGTGGCTGTTGTGAGAGACAGCGCCGACTTCGAGCTCGGGGTAATTACCCGCGTTAGCGTGTTGTGGAGAATCCCGCCCCACTTTGGAGAAGACATACCTGCACATCCAAATCCGCCGTCCTGCTGCACTCGCATACACTTGAGCTAAATTACATTGATAAGGAGTTGAGCTGACAGTGTGAATGTTTTTCATCAGAAACTGTTTTCGGCGAAGAGGTATTGCTTGCGAACAGGGCTACGCATTTGCTGTCTGTGATCGCATTCACAATGAGGTCCGCTGTGGCCCTCTAAGTATATCAGACATATATTTCCTATTCCCTACTCATCATCTCTCATAACTTCGAGTGACCTCGACACCTGGATCGAGAACCAATTCTTCTCATTACCATCGGATATACATCGAAAACTCAACTATGGAGAAGCTCCCAAACGAACTACTCATCAAGGTTGCGTCTGATCTAGATCGCGAGAGTCTACGCTCGCTAGCATTGGTCTCTAAAAAGATGGAGCCCGTCGCTCGAGATCTACTCTGGCGCGCCGTCCGCGTCCCCGATCGGACCTTACCTAATGAACCCAGCGGCATTGCAGCTTTAGCACACATTCTGGTCCAGAATCCAAGTCTAGGAAAGATTGTACGTAGTCTTGAACTACATCCAGAAGATCGTATGGTTACTGTCGAGCCATCGCTGATGTCTCCTCAAGGGCCTTTCATGCCTCACTCTTCACTGGCGCAAGTCAACGAATGCGCACTGGTTGGATTCATCCTAGAGCAGACGTCTGAGCTGGAGCGGTTGAAGCTTGAGGTATTGGCTGAAGAGCAAACATACCGCCACGAATACGATTATCAACGCTATACGGATGCAATCAGCCCATTTGAGATGATCTTTGGGCCTCAAAGCTCATCTTACCCCGAGGGACTGGCGAAGCTCAAAGAACTGCACTTCAACGCCCAAGTTTTTGAGTGGTCTTGGTGTGAGTTACCATCGCTTAAGGTTCTGCACATAGGTCGTGGGTGCCGCCTTCTAGAAGACACTAAAGTCCCGGACAACCTTACATCCTCTATTGATACACTCATATGGGACATGTGTACTTCTCAATTCAAATCTGAAGATCCCGAGAAGACCGACGATTTCCTCTCGCGCTTCTCGTCTCTCAAAGTATTGGAAATCTGGCTCTCTAACGTAATAGTGAAGCAAGCCGACCGAGATAGCCCACAGGAATACAGGAAGGTGGTCAAAGACAGCTTGTACGGCCAGTGGATGTACAACGATAGCCTAGACGAGCCGCTTTATCATTTCGTCACAGAGCAGCTTTCGAGTCTGACGGATACACTAGACAGCTTGGCCTTGCGCATATCAGAAAAGGGCTGTGAGGATCGATGGTACGTTGGAAAACTCGATCATGCAGATTACAGCAGCTTTACTAAGCTACGTCGTCTCGAACTGCCCCACTGGCTACTAACAGGTCCTTCAGAAGAACGACCAATGGCAGAGGTAAGCGATATACTGCCTAGCACTTTAGAAGAACTGGTCATCACTCGTCTGGACGACGTGGAAGACAGCATCTGGAACATAACGGATGGTATTATTTTTGCGCGCCGTCACCACGGTGGTTTCCCTGAACTACGAAAGGTTACGCTAGACGAAATTGGCCGCCCAATTGATAAGGACTGGGCCGGAGGCCCCATTAGCCGTCTACAAGAGCTCGGTATTGAGGTGGAGGCTTGGGTGCCGGATTGGTCGTCAGATGAGTACTGGGAGTCACGATCGTCTTCAGACTCGGACCGCCACAAAGCGTGGATGAGCTCAGAACCGCGCCACTTACTTTTGCCCCCCAGGCCCAGTACCGGGCTTATTTGAAGGGCCTATTTGACGGGCTTGTTGTTATTTGATTGAGCCTTTTGGACGCGGCGGGCACGAGGGCTGGTAACAATGCGTGTCGCATTTGCAAGGTTCGCTGCATACACACTATTGTAATCTAGTGTGAGTAGTCTCTAAGATAGCGTATGCTACGAGGAAGATGGAAATTTGTATGAGGTTTCTTTAGAATGCGGATTTTTTGCAACCCCCAGTCCGGTTCATCGTAATCATGGGAGCTCTAATCATGTGGAAGACGCAAGATTGCTTGTCAGTGCAATCAACCTAAGTGAACTTCATCTGTGTGACTTGTATGAATGGGTTTCGCAGTGCGATGTGAAGATCTGAGGAATGATTACAGCTTATGAGCAGCAGCGTTTCTACCCCGTGCGTCAGGAGGCTTTGATCTCGAGACTGTCTTGAACTATGTCAGCAACAACCATGGCTATGCCGGGAGGCCCATGCCCAAGGTGCATCAATTCCCCGAACGACAAGCTTCCACCACTGCAAGCGACTTTGAGCGGCTCCCGCTGTCAAAGTGACCTTATCTGTAACCAGCGAGCATAGGCGAGCGTCAGCCCATACGCGTGGATATGATCGCCGAGGTGTCATACTGAGAGCTAGCCACCCGAACGCCGTGCCTAACGAAGCCCAAACAACGGGTCGCGCTTCTGGAGAGCATCCTGGTAGCGCATCTGTGCTAATAGTGTAGTGTTACCGACATTGCATACCGGGTTCGGCGCATAGTTCCTGCATATGAGTGGCTCGGAAGACTGATACAATGCTCCCTTGGCGTGAACTGAGTCCGTGGCTGAGCCAGATACCGGGAATCTTGTACGACCGTGACCTCGAGTAGCGACCACGCGCAACTCACATGGCTGTCTGTCTTTGAGAGTCGTGATACCGGATCGGCTCGTAAAACGCCATCGAGGCACCAATGCAGCGGG